AGGTCACAAAGGGTCCTTTTTAAAAACTCAATTTCTGAAATTCTCCGTGTTACCTCCGGTGTCCCACAAGGGAGCCATCTGGGTCCGTTACTTTTTACATTATTTATTAACGATCTTCCCTCAATTATAAGTCATTCTCGCGTACTTATGTACGCAGATGATGTTAAGTTGTGCCTGCAGTATAAGGACATTTCCTGCCATTTAGACTTGCAATCCGATCTAGATAATTTTCAAAACTGGTGCCGAGATAATTTACTAAATTTAAACGGCTCCAAGTGCAAGCTGATGACTTTTTATCGGGCCAATCCGATATACGCGACTTACACGTTAAGTGGCAGCTCTTTGGATAGAATAACTCTTGTAAACGATCTTGGCGTTCTCTTGGACCCTAAACTAAAATTTTCTAATCACATTTCGTCCATGGTTAATAAAGCCAGAGGAGTGCTTGGATTTATTAAAAGGTGGTCAAAAGAATTCGATGATCCTTATTTGACTAAAACTTTATTTATTTCGCTAGTCCGTCCGATTCTGGAGTATGGGTCTCCCGTCTGGAGTCCACAATACGGAATACATATTGGTCGTATTGAATCTGTACAAAAAAACTTCCTTCTTTTTGCTTTACGGCGCCTAAACTGGGATGCAAATCTTATCTTACCTTCCTATTCTAGTAGACTTCTTTTGATTAATTTACCATCCCTAGCCAACCGTAGAACGATGCTTGGTACTATCTTTATTTATAACCTTATACATGGTGATATTGACTGCCCCGACTTGTTAAGTCGGCTAAACTTTTCTGTGCCAAGTAGATTAACTAGAAATTATATTCCCCTAATTTTAAATCATTGTAGATCTAACTATGCCTTGCATGAGCCTTTCAGAGTATTATGTTCTGACTATAATAGACTTTTTCCTGTAATATCAAATCTTGACTCTCTGCCGCTCCTAAAACGATTAATACTTGCTTCATTGGCACAAGATTGATCTAACTATTACTTTTTCCCCGGACCTTTACCTTTATTTTCCTATCTCGCGTCTATCCTATCGCGAATCGTGCCGTACGATACACGGCTGCGCCCCTCGGTCGGTTGGGCGGGTAAGTGGGCCGTGGGACTCCGCGCGAAAAAAAAAAAAAAAAAAATAATTAATTGGGAGCAGTGCATCATCAAGTCGTCGATAATCAGTTCCAACCAATGGGATTTTTCAGTTTTTCAATTCGGTCATTTGCGATCTGTACACATCCAGCGTGCGACCCTTCGTTCCAGAGCCCCTAAGGAAGAGCGTCATTAGCAAACTACATAACATCTCTCACAGTGGAATTGGATCAACAATAAAACTCATCAAACGTTTCGTATGGTCCTCAATGCACAAGGATATTGCTCAATTCGTAAAACACTGCGTTCCTTGCCAAAAATCGAAGATTTCCCGACACGTTCGCTCGCCGCTACAACACTTCACGCTTCCTAGTAAAAGATTCGACCATATCAATTTGGACCTCATCGGACCATTACCCCAATCGGGTCAAAATAGATACTGCTTAACAATCATTGACCGTTATACACGTTGGCCGGAAGCCATCGCAATCGAGGACACGCAAGCTAACACGGTAGCCTCAGCACTTATCGGTTCGTGGATCTCAAGATTTGGAGTTCCTGCTCGCATCACAACAGACCAAGGAAGACAGTTCGAGTCCAAATTGTTCCATGAATTTTCACGAATGCTAGGAATATATCACCTTCGCACAACAGCATATCACTCGCAAGCAAATGGAATCATAAAACGCTGGCACAGAACAGTAAAGGCAGCTATCATGTGCAAAAATCGCGTTAATTGGCCACAGAAACTTCCAATGATCCTGCTCGGGTTGCGATCAGCATTTAAGCCAGACTTCCAAACAACATCAGCACAACTTGTGTACGGCACAACCCTTCGCCTTCCAGGAGAATTTTTTCATCAAAAGTCCAATTTCCAACCGCAAACTAACTTCGCAATGGAACTGGAGGAAATTATGCGAGAAATACGGCCAATACAGACGGCACATCACGACACATCTAAACCTTTCGTTTTTAAAGAGCTGGAACTCGCAACTCACGTCTTTCTACTCAACGACACTGTCCGTGGATCCCTTCAGCCACCTTACGATGGACCCTTTGAAGTGAAAGAAAAACAATCCAAATATTTTACCATAAAAACCGGCGCCCGATGCATTAAAGTATCTATAGACCGACTCAAGCCAGCCTTCATCCCAAAATCCAGGACTGAAGACATCGCGGCGACCCCTGCGGTTAACCAACCTTCAAGACCTCGTCGTACAATTAGACTCCCTCTTCGTTTTAGAACATGAAGTCTAGGGGGGAGTACTGTGGCCATCTGGCATCACTGAAAAACTTCCCTGACTTTTAGAATTTAAGATTTATCCAAGAATATATTTTAGTCATACTCTACCAAAACCGACTCTACGAAAGCCCACAAAAAGAGAACACAAAAGAATACAAAATAAATTATAGTTTAGACTTAAAGTCTTTTATATTTAATCAAGCGCAAGATTGTAAATTGGTTGTTTAGCCAACCATAAGTTCATCAGAATTGAATGTGCTACGGTCGTACTATTAGTCAGCTGGGTTTGTAGACAAACAGTTAAAATAAAAAAAAAAATAATTGTAAGAAAGAGCTTTTAAATGATATTCTCAACTAGTTTGGAAAGTCCAGTCGGTGTACATAGAAATTAAAAAACAATCAAATTTATTATAATTTATAAATTTATTTAATAATTTGTTTTAGTTTACTAATAATTATTTGGTCACTAAATTCTTTCGGGTTATTTTTCTGGATTTTTTCTTGTGTTTTTTCCGACCATTTTGATTTAAGCCTATTACTCAGATCGACGAAAACCGTACGCCAGTCATGAGAGAGAGCGAAAGGCAAACAGCTGGCGTTCACTTTTCGTCGGGCCTCTTTTTAACGTCGGTACTCATTTCGACGAAAAAATACAGAAAAAATTCATAGCGTGCCAGTCTGCTGAAATGAACTTTGGGTGAACCCTAGCGAAAAGAATAAAAAATTTAATCTTTTGGCGTGCGCTTCTCACTGAACATTTTAAAAAATGGAGGGAAAAGATCAAAAAACCGGCAAAAGTCGATTGCAGGAGTTTACATGTGAGGATAAAATAACATTAATACTATCTGGGGTGCCTCTTGTCAGAGCAAAAATATATATACTTTATAGGGTCGGAAACGTCTCCTTCACTGCGTAACAAACTTCTGACCAAAACTCCAAAGCTACCATCCAAAAATTACCAAGTATTCTGTTACACCGTTTGGGTTCTTTTCCAGTCTGCTAATGACTAATTAATGCTAATTTAAATATTCCCCAAGAGAGCAGGGCAGAAGGTCTGACGTTGGCAGCGACGATCAGAATTGTCGGAAACGATATGTAGGTAGAGTGTTAACCTTGTATTTCGCATCCGCTGCATCGGTCGCCTTGGTCGGCGGGTTCCATGCTAAAGCCTAGTATCCTGATCGACGAAAACCGTACGCCAGTCATGAGAGAGAGCAAGAGGCAAACAGCTGGCGTTCACTTTTCGTCGGGCCTTTTTTTCACGTCGGTCTCCTGATCGACGAAAAAAATACCAGAAAATTCCATAGCGTTGCCAGTCTGCGGAAATTAACTTTGGGTGAACCCTAGCGGAAAAGATTAAAAAATTTAATCTTTTGGCGTGCGCTTCTCACTGAACATTATAAGAAATGGAGGGAAAAACTCAAAAAACCCACAAAAGTCGATTGCAGGTGTTTACATGTGAGGACAAAATAACATTAATACTATCTGGGGTGCCTCTTGTCAGAGCAAAATGTTTTTTAAGTCCAGAATGTACGAAAAAACACAATAAAAGTGCAGCTATGAACTTTAAATTACAAATAATTATCAGTAAATTAAAAAAAAACAACTGTTAAATTTAAATTGTATTGTTTTTTAATTTCTTTGTACAGCGGCAGACTTGTCTTGCCAAGGTATTTGATAATATCTTTTAAAGGCTCTTTCCCGCAAATACGATATTTGAATTTTAACTGCTTGTCAACAAACCCAGCTGATTGACAGTACGACCATAGCACTCTTAAATCAGATGAACTCTCAAACTTTTGGTCACACTGGAAAGATTAAAGTTTTTACGCTAGCGTAATCGTTTGTCGATCTGGATACTAAGCTTAACTCCGACCTCCTCGGACTTCTTCAGCGTTTATTTTAGTACGGCCGTCTGGCGGCTACGGACTCAACATCGACGGAGCTGATAGGTGACGAAGAGGCACATCGAAACAGTTACCAAAGTACCGCTGGTTAAAAGTGGCTTCGTTAGAGTTTCTTCTTTTAAATGATTTTTAAATTATACGAAACGATGATATTCATGCAATGATTACTTGTGGAAACGCAAATAATAGATTGATAAGTCCCTACTTCAATAATGTTTTCATCATTATTCAGGTGATAATAATAAATAATAAGAAAGGAAGCAAACTTCAAACTACAAAACGAATACATTTCGAGTTGCTATTTTGTTTCTTAATTTTTTGATTTCCTATTGGAGCTGCATGATATAGATGTCGGATTTAAATTTAATTAAAACCGTAATTCCATAGTATTTAAATATTACCAAATCCCAAAGAACAAAAAAATAATTAAAAAAAAAAAAAACAATGTCATACTTTTTAATATTTTTTTTCCGATTGTTTCTACGGGAGCTATTTGTTATAGTCGCCCGATCCGGCTCGTTCCGCGACCTGCAATAGAAAGACAACTTTTGGGAAAGCAGACAGCTTTAAAACTGAGGGACTAGTTTGCGTAGAAACGGACAGACAGACGGACAGACAAGAATATAGGGTTGGAAATGTCTCCTTCACAAATTATAATCCCTCTGCAAGGGTACAAAAACCCCGTTTTCTTATATATCGTAATGTCTTGATTTCGTTGTTATAATGCTGGCTAAGCTACATTTTTTGTTTACATTACAGAACGAGTTTAATAACCAAATTCTGGACATCATTTCGGACATAGACATAAATATAAAAGCCCAAGAAAAAATAACTCAACTCCAAGAGCAAGAACTGAAACTCATAAGAAAACAGAACGAGCTGGCAAATCAAATTCAACAGCAACAGATTTTGGCTCAGCGACTAAATGCTAACAACCAATTTAAGCCAAGTCAAGGAAGTCAAAGTGCAAACTTTGACTCACAAAGCCAACAACAAAATAAGCGTGATGTATTAGTTTCGGTAACCCCTCAGAATACCGCTGGTAATGTAAGTATTATCTTCAATACATCGTTTTTTTTGATTCCTTATGCAGTTCACTTCAAAAACTCAACTAAAATATATATTTTTTAGGAAACTTATTTTCCTTACTTTTATTTGCCTGACGGAGTATCGGCGTGTTAAATAAAAAATGGTTTTCTTGTACTTACTTTAGTTTAGGTAAAGGTAATCTTTAGATGGCTGCGTTATCCACACTTCAAAATTTCGGTTTCAAATTTTCGTAATTCGAAGTTTTTTTCTTGAAAAATATTATTACATTTTTGAGTTAAATATTATTTTTAATCTAAACTTTCGTCAAACTTTTTTTGGTGTTTCGACAATGGAGGTCTAAAAGGTCAGTTTAAATCCTCCCGTCATATAAAGTTTAGTTTGTCGTGCAAATAAGAAAACAATCCTTTAAATTATTCTTAGAAAATACAGTTTTAGTGTTCATTACGTCAAAGCAGAACGAATAATATCTTATATTTATATTTTTTGTTGATTATTGTGATTTTTGTTAATACTCTATTTTACGCTCCTCACTTTTCAAAAATACGAATTAAATCAGAAAGTCAAGTTTGTCATAGAATGTATTTCATTCGAGAGAGTGGGACACTTACGCTATAGTAGACAATTTATCAGTTTCCTTACATTTTCTTAAATTCATGAAAATTGATATACTTTTATTTTGTACTTTTTTGACAACGAATAAAAATCCAAAATGTATTTTAATTTTTATAGCAAAACAAGAAACTTTAAATTATATAACAAGAGAACTGTGTTCGACCGGTTCGTTTTTTCTTAATGCAAATCATTAAAAATCAGACGACTTTACTTAATTAATAAATTGTTTACTTATGTTCCTTATATACTGAAAAAGTTTAAGGTAAATATTTTTTAACGAGGGTAAAATTCCTATAACAACTTTTTTCGATCACCCTCAGGTTGCACGATATAATTAAGAATACTACATTAAGATGTTTATTATCTAAACAAAATTTAATTTTCTAACATATGTATACACTAGGCTGTCATGACTTTTAAGAAAGCGAGAAAAATATTGCAATAAAAAACAAGAAAGGAAGCAAACTTCGGCAATCCGAAGTTTATATACCCTTGCAGTTATTACAAAACGACTACATTGCGATTTCTATGTCTATATTACTAAAAACAATAAAGCTATGTCGATTTTGCGCTGCATTTTGCTATAGTTTCTATGTCAGCTATACCATTTTGTTGTCCGATTCTGACAAAACTAAAAGCGTAATTCTGATACAGTAAATAATTACTATATCTCAAAGGAAAATTTTGAGAATAAAAAAAGAGCAAAATACAATTTTTTTGTTATTTTTTTTTTTTTAATTTTTTGATTTTTTTATTGTATAAAACAGATTTTCGATTTAAATTTAATTAAAATCGTAGTTTGATAGTACTTAAATTTTACCAATAACCAATCAACAAAAAAAAATGAAAAACAACAATGTTATACCAATTGGCTAGATCGACTCTCCTGTTGATGCTGATCAAGAATATAGGGTCGGAAATGTCTCCTTCACTGCGTAGCAAAACTTTTGAATGAAATTAAAATACCAAGGGTATAAGGGTATAAAAACCGAATGAGAAAATCAATTTAAAATTCTAATAAGTTTCTTAAAAAAATTAAATTTTTCCTTTTTAAGAAACATTTTTGTATACTTTTAAAAATTATTATGTAAAAACAGAGTATTCAATTTCTGACTCCTGAGATAGAAAAAAACGGCTATTATAGAAAAGAATTAATAGTTAATTTGCTCCAATTATTCTTCGGCCTAACATACATTTTTAGAGTGTACTGAAAGGGTGCATTGTATAGCGTTTTCCCTTTTTAATTTTAATAAATTTCTTCTTTTTTTTATAACAGTACTTTGAACTTTTACATAATAGCAAGATTCCTAAGTAAAAGTCCCTTATAAAATTATTTTTTTTTAAACCATTTTAAAGTAAACGCATATTTGGAAATGTTTGGGAAAATTTAGTTATGAAAGTCCCTAATCGACAGATGGACGTTATTTTAACATAAGTAGTTTGGAATCGCCAAATAAAATTTAATTTTTTAGCATCCAAAATTAAAGAATCGAAATGATAATAAGTTCCTTAAAAAGAGATTCAACAATTTCCCAAAATTAAATTGAAAATCTTAAAATAGTTTTCAATAGGATCATAGAATTCTTAGTAAAGCAAGAGTCATTCTACGCGTATTTAAAATATCTTCCTTGTGTTTTGGTATGCACACATATTATAATAAAACGTTCAATTTCGATTAAAAAAAACATATCTTAACGAGGTAAAAAAGTCATGACGAACGCTGCTTTAACAAACAAATTGTTTGATATTTTTTATCAAGCAAATTGTCTGATTTTTATCAGACAGCAGATTTTCAATCCTGCGGTTATTCGCACATTGTACCATTGTATCAATCAGCCAAATAAGTGCACGTTTCGAGTGAAATTTGCTGTTACTTATTATATGTGCCATCCATTTTTTTTAAACAAAAAATATTATTGTATATTTAAAGTCAAAGGTTTTAAGCAGCGCTTTAGTTTCAGACTCCTTTGATTATAGTAAATAAAATATACACCATTTTTCTACATTTAAAATATGAGTTAAGGCTTTTAATTTAAATTAACTCCTCCGTTGTCTTCGATTTTCAAGGAATAAAAACAAGCAACTTTTTTCAAAAATTTCTTCCTATTCAGAATTGTCTTCTTCTTTAGGTCCAGCTCCAGTATATTGAACCTATTTTAGTGACGCCACGTGTACTTCTGTATGACCAACTGCGTCTTGTGGCACATGCCTCTTCAAATGTGTGAGAGTATGGTCGATTTAGAACAAGAATTTCTATAATTAGCGTTTTTGAGAAAATTTCGTGTGCTCACATTACGCGCTATACACATAATGTATTTGGCATTTATATGTATGCACATATAAATTTGTTTGCGAAGAAGCGAAAATTATTTTTTAAATGTGTGCTTATGAAATTGATTAGTTACGAATACCATTTAATTTTATTACTATAAAATAATATTTAAATCGGAAATTCATTGTGCTAATACGATTAGAATGAATTGCATAGTAGAGAAAAAAAGAGGCTTTCGTCCAAGTGATCTTATTGATAATAATAATCGTCAATTTTTATTAAGGCTCAGTAAGCAGCTGTGGCAGAAAAAAAATGTACGACAACTTCTATAAAAATTATTTTATGTTTAAATAGTCATTATTTTACTTTTTACTATACGGAGAACCTGTAGAAAATAAAAATAACTATTTAGCTCAGATTTGCAGGTTGCAATGACTGCCTTTTTATTTGCACAAATGTTTTAGTCAATAATAACTTTTTTGACTTGCAAGTATAAAAATATTTTTGTTATTTTAACGTCGGCAATTTAATTTGAAAAACTAGTTTGTGCATAAACTACGTATTTTTTTACCCTTTAAATACAATACCTTTTTCAATAGCACAGTCCCATATGAATATGAAATACACATACAAGTCAAATAAATTAGGCTAAGCCTTTAAATTTGAATTTAATTAATTAGGAAACCACCAATACATCGAAGACGGTTGATTTACGCAAAATATTTACTCCAGCGACAGATTCTTCTGAAATATTACCAAAAAATCGTAAGTATAAATAATAAATAAAAAAGGTGATACGTAAAAGTCGTCTTAGACAATCATTAATCGTTACTTATAACAGTACTAATATTAAGCCAAGTTCAGTTGTTATTATGCTACGCTTAGGAGGCATTCCTAGTTGCTGCAAAACGCTTTATAAATGCCTACAAGTGAAAGTTGATTACGTATCGCCTTTTGAATTAAATTTTAGACAACACTTCAATCTCCAATCTTAATTAGGAAAATTATATGCCTCGTCTGCATTTTATTCTCCAACACTACACCCTACTGTGGAAGACCAAGTTGAGCTAGCGCGGAGAATATCACATTCATTAAGTGATATCAGTAACCAAACATCTAAGGGTCAGTCAATGTATGTCAATCGCAAAAAACGCTCAGACAAATGGGTTCATGAAGGTAGATCTCAAGGTAATAATTGTTTGAATCATGTTTCCCGTTATTCCTAATATATCCGGTTCTCACATTTTTGATTGCTAAAATAATTAAATTAATAAAATACAATTAAATACAGTGCTCGATAAATGCTACTTCCGTGCTGAAGGCCTTCACTTAAATTAAAAACTTTATTTTAAGTAACTATTTTAAAAATTACATTTTTTAAATATATTTTTGTAATGGCTGAGTTAAGAACCACGACCCGTATCGTCATTTTTATACCCTTGCAGAGGGTATTATAATTTTGGTCAAAAGTGGGCAACGCAGTGAAGGAGACATCTCCGACCTTATAAAGTATATATATTCTTGATAAGGATCGCGTCCTGAGTTGATATAAACATGTCCGTCTGTCTGTTTCTACGCAAACTAGTCTCTCAGTTTTAAAGATATCGAATCGAAACTTTGTACACACCCTTCTTTCATTTGCACGCAGTATATACGTCGGAACGGTCGGTATCGGCCGACTATGTCATATAGCTGCCATATAACTGATTGATCAATTTGGCCAATCAATCCGACCTACCAAATTTCATAAGGATTGTCCGACTATATCCTATAACTTCCTATGGGATTTATTTTTGGCCAATCAATCCGACCTACCAAATTTCATAAGGATCGGCCGACTATATCCTACAGCTGCCATATATATGTTTTTAAAATTAGAAAGTTGGGATTTTTCATAAGTATTAAGAATGCATCATATGAATAATTTTGAAGAATATAATTTACAGAGTATTCTGCAAGGGTATATCAACTTGGGTCCCGCCCGAAGCTAACTTTCCTTTCTTGTTTTTCTAATTTCGGCCAAAAGTCTTAAGCACTTCTTTTTTAAAAAATTCATAACTTTCGTCTAGTATTAGTAGTGCAACTCTGTAAAAATATGGAAAACCATTGAGTGATAATTTGTCATTTTTATTTTCGTGTTTTTATATTAGCAGTTAAAGTAGTTAAAGTTGAATTTCTTAACTTCGCACCACAACTGTAGATCAAATTGGTAAAGATTTTTATATTAGGATTTAATATGTATTGTTTTAATTGCATTAAAAAACTAAGCTTTAAACTCAATTTTCCTTGTATAAAATGCACCCTTCAAATATGTTTGCCCACACATTTATTATGTCATCAGATGCGCAATTTTAAGTAAAAACTTAAAGAAGAAGAAACTTAAAGAAGATTTTTTTAAGTCCATCAAAAAACCCGGCGACGTTTGGAAAAATGTGAAAGGCTCATGCAAGGCATAGTTAGATCTACAATGATTTAATATTAGGGGAATATAATTTCTAGTTAATCTGCTTGGCACAGAAAAGTTTAGCCGACTTACCAAGTCGGGGCAGTCAATATCACCATGTATAAGGTTATAAATGAAGATAGTACCAAGCAACGTTCTACGGTTGGCTAGGGAGGGTAAATTAATCAACAGAAGTCTACTAGAAGAAGAAGGTAAGTTAAGATTTGCATTCCAGTTTAGGCGCAGTAAAGCAAAAAGAAGAATTCAATACGCCCAATATGTATTCCGTGGACTCCAGACGGGAGACCCATACTCTAGAATCAAACGGACTTGCGAAATAAATAAAGTTTTAGCTATATAAGGATCATCGAATTGTTTTGACCACCTTTTCATATATCCAAGCACTCCTCTGGCTTTATTAACCATGGACGAAATGTGATTAGAAAATTTTAATTTAGGGTCCAAGAGAACGCCAAGATCGTTTACAAGAGTTATTCTATCCAAAGATCTGCCACTTAACGTGTAAATCGCGTATATCGGATTGACCCGATAAAAAGTCATTAGCTTGTTCTTGGAACCGTTTAAATTTAGTAAATTATTTCGGCAAAAGTTTTGAAAATGATCTAGATCGGATTGTAAGTCTAAATAGTAGGAAATATCCTTATATTGCAGGCATAACTTAACATCATCTGCGTACATAAGTACGCGAGAATGACTTATAATTGATGGAAGATCGTTAATAAATAATGTAAAAAGTAACGGACCCAGATGGCTCCCTTGTGGGACACCGGAGGTAACACGGAGAATTTCAGAAATTTAATTTTTAAAAAGGACCCTTCGTGACCTGCCATTCAGATAACTTGAGATCATAGCTCGCAAATAACTGTTGACCGTTTTTCTTCTTGCGCTCTCGTTGCGTGCATAACCGAAAAAGTTCATACTCTCTCACTCTCGCTCTGAGCAAGAGACTTTTTCTGTCTTCTTTTATGTTTTCTGTTCAGCGCTTTTCGTTGAGCTCTTTGTATATCGCTCTTTCAATGAGCAGTGCGTAAAGAGCGGAATGAGAAACGCTCGCAAAATGAGAGTCAGCAAAAGACCGATTGACCGAAAAAGTCAACGCAAACGGTCTTCACATTTACTTTCGTTGTTGTGAAAAAGGAATAATATAATTTTTTTGAAATTTATTTTTAAATATTTTTATTAACAAGTTCCATTTCGATTCCATATTCCATATATCTGCAAAACAGACGCTTAACGATTGGCTTGCCTATGCGTGTGAATGTATATCAATACATACGCAGAAGACCTTTTGCTGAACTGAACACGACAAAACGTTCTTGGAACAACCAGAACCAAACAGAACAGAAAGAAAACGGTTTCGCTCTGAGCGCGAGCGAGCACATTCAAGAACCTTTAAATCGGTTGCTCTCTGAGTCTTTTCGTAAACAGTCTGGAAAAGATTTCTTCCAAATATTTGGGAATTGGGAAGTTTCTAGAGATAAGGTAAACAACTTGTGAAGTGGCTTGCACAGGGCCTTAGCGCATTACCTAAGCCTGGAATACCATCGGGCCCTGGCGAATAAACAGGCTTAATACGAAGAAGATCCCAAAAGAAGAGAACTTGCTGTTAAAGTGGGACAGAATATGAGGTTTGACTTGGATATGGTGTAAGTATAGAGTAGAGTATGTCGTTTGAAAAAATTGGGAAAATAAATCGGCTATTGCCTGATCTGTGGTTGCCGTCATGTTTTCGAACGACAGCGACGAGAGAACTGGACCTTACATCGGTTTTAGTAACTATTATAACACTGAGCATTAGGCACGGTAAATCTCACCAGCTGTATTCTCCAAACTCTCACCAGCTGAATTCCTCCAAACTCTCACCAGCTGAATTCCTCCAAACTCTCATTTATTTGTGAGGGGTTATTTAACTCCTCACAATATCTAGTAAAAACAGATTGAGAACCGGTATTTTTATATTTCCTAAAAAGTCTGGACTTTACATTTCTTAAGTTTGTCAACTCTTTGCTAAACCAAGGTGATTTATTGGAAATTGACGAATAGTACCACGGAACACAGGAATTAAAAAATAAGTGTAAAAAACATTAACTGCAGCGCACATATGACTGCATAAGTAAAGATCAGACCAACTAAAATAAAATTAGTTAGCCTTAGAAAGTCTGCCTTGCGAAAGTTCAATTGTAGGGTGGTATGGATCTTCAGGTTGCGTGATGGCTGCTACTCTGGACAGAAACACACCTTCAGGATTTGATACAAAACTGAAGTCAAGTAGGCGACCTAGTGAATTTCGAACATGGTTTACTTGAGATAAGGATATGTTAAGCAGGCCGTCAATAAAATTATGTTGTGCTATAGGTAGTAAGACATTCGATCCATCCTCAGTGGACCAGGTAACTCCAGGTATATTAAAATCACCTAGAACTACCAACTGATCCCAATCGGAAAGCTTATATGCAACAGACTTAATTACGGAAAGGTGATTTAAATAATCAAGAAGTTCAGACAACGGCGGAATATATCAGCAAGTTATGTATATAGAGCTTCCAAGAAGCGATAACTTTACACAAATAAATTCAATGGTATTGAATTCCTCAAAAAATAACTCCTCTGACGGGAGTTTTGAATCAACTCCAATTAAGACTTCACCTCCCCGTCTAGAGGGACGGTCATACCTGTATATTGTGTACTTACCTGGAAAAACTTCGGAGCTAAAGATCTCCGGCTTTATGGTTAACCTGGTGTTTCTGTAAACACAATAATATGAGATGCAAAGAAAAGCTAACAGAATAAAATTTATTATGATTGCTAGGCAAGCCTCTTGCATTCTGATAGGAAAGAAGGAGGTTAGATGTTGGTTTTTTGAAATTGGTACACTGGTTTGGCCTCGACAAGGAAGTTTTACTCCCACGGGCCCCTTCTTCTTTATCATAGCCTCGAACTCAACCATATTATCCGTCCAAAAGTCGCCCGAGCATATGGCTTCAAAAAGCTCGTTAGCGACGGTTATCTTGAAAGATGAAATGTCTCTTGCATAAGAAAACTTAAACTTTTCCACCTTTACACTATTAAATCGACTTTAGTTTTGTCTTGTATATAAAACAATACATCAGAAGATGTTAGATCAGGGGAAACGAAAATTTGTTTCTTTAGTGGAACCACTGAAAGGGATTTTGGTGAAGCAGACATTGTTTCTGCAAAACCAACTTGAGCCGGTTGTTCGGACTCAGTAGTCCCTTATGGTGGTGTCGCTACATTTTGAGAGATATGTGGAACCACTAATTGTGAAACTACTACGGACAAATCGGAATTCTTAGAGGTCCCTGGTTGCTTCCATTCTGGTACGGATTGTTCGGATACCAAATCTTTTTTAGCTCCTAATCTTAGCAACATTTGAGGGTTTCCTGCAATCAGCTGCTGATCCGCCAGCTGCTGGTCGCACGGTTTTGGTTTAAGTCTAGATTGGATTAAGAGTGAAATTTTAGAGCAGAAGTCTTTGGGGCGAACCGCATCTGAATCCCTATAGTTAAACATCTGCAAATCTTTGGCCAAATTATATACTCGCTAGACAAACGGTAAGAGCAAGTTCAGACTATAATTTAAAAGATGTTTGAGATAGATAGAAGGCTGTAACGTGATTTAAAGCAGAGACGTCGTGTGCACAAATCTATGGTTTTGATGAATTTTTGTAATGCAAATCGACATCGAAACAAAACTTGACCCTGTA